GCTACCCAGTACCCCCTGGTTTCCAGTGGTTTTCTAACTGATGTCAGTCTGTGATCAAACTTGAAAATTATTATCATTTGTACTATCTTGTGTGACAGTCTGTGACCCACTATCCAAAGAATTCAACTTTTGGTGAATAGGTCTTTAGTGTTCATCCCTTCTCGACTAACTCCATTTGACTGGATAACTGGGTAGTTGGTTTTCAGGAAAATGATTGATTTCAAGTTTAGTCTTAAAGAAGGACACATCAGTTACAGAATCACTGACAACCACCAGGGAGCACACTGGACAGCTTTTTTGTTCTCCTAGATTGGGACTTTTAAGTAACGGCATCTATCCATGACCACTGCACAGCAGGGGATTAAACCCGGAGACCTTCAGGTTACGTAACCAGATGTCTGACTATTCAATCACTGCGGTTGGAATTCAATGACGTATGAATTCTAAATTCTGTAATTTCGTGGCTTATACAAGATATAACTAACTCACCGTTAACAACTATCATTATTATTGCTATTATTATTATTGCAATTATAATAAACTACACAGTTGTTCTATGGACTTTGTTTTAAATTAGTCTAATTTTCAATATTGATTATTTATTTGATTCACAGTAAATTAGAAAAGAAAAAAAGGTTAAGGTGGTCGTTTTCACTGTAATACGACTGAAATAGTCAATGGAAAAAGTATATATATATATATATATATATATATACTTTATTTGATCTAATTCACAAGGCTCAAACTTTTTACTGATAGGAATACGACATATTACTGCAAGTGTTTCTTTATTTCGGCAAATAGAAAAAATGGGATAAAGGAAGGGACGAAGAAAGCTAATTAAATTACTTTGACAACTTATCCTCTCCCCACCCCCTCTCCACCTCTGTTTATATCATCGAACTATATAAAAACGAATTCTACTGAAAATGCATAGGTAAACTATATACATGACAAGCAGTAATGAGTGTTGATTTAATTATACACAGTGTTAATTAGTACCCCTGAGAAGTTCTTTGGAAATCTATACTACCTTTTTAACCCCCCAATTTCTCACTGTTTTTCTTCAGTTTTATGTAACAACTTTGCAACTAGAAAATGCACAGTCACCAGTATTGTTATCATTTCACTCATAATTGATTCCTAAGGTATGCAGAACTACGCTAGACCTCATGTTGATTAGCATAGTATGATCAATAATATTGAGTGTATTGATTGGAAGCAACTAGTGTCGTGTGCCACGACCTTGGTGTTTGTGCAGAATAAATTTTATCACAGCCAACTTCGAAATGTGGCCACCAAGTTCGGTGTGACCCACCATCACGGTGCACTCTGAGCTCACAAGATGAATTACACGATGGATAAGATTTTATTTTGATAAATCTTATCCATAATGGAGTTATACTCTAAAACAGTGCCCAAGTTTTATACTTATATCAAGAATTACACAATGGTTATTGAATAGTGACCGATCGACTCACTCCTCAAAGTCCCACAGGAACACAATCGTGATCACAAATCGCTTAGTGGTCCTGGGCGACGTGGGTTCGAAGCCTAGATGGGGTATCAGTCCCATCAAGATTGTAAACACGCCTTGTCAGTGAAATCCAATAAGCATAAAACCTAGGTGTATGTCTTCATACCATCTATGATAAGTGATATTAAGGTAAGGGGAGAGAGTCAATCGATGAAGATTACGAAGCCATCTATTCATATTAGTTAGAATACATGTTACGAATATCGAACCAACGGCTAACAACTAGGACTTATGTCTGCCAGTTTTTGACTAGCCTGGAGAAGAGTTACAGGTGATCAGGTCAAAACACATAACTAATTGGTTACAGGATTTCATCAAGAGCTGACATTGGTTAGAGAACCATTGGAAAACCTGGGAGTAATGGACAGCTGTTTCGTCCTAGCTTGGGACTCCTCAGCAGTACGCACCCACCGGGGTTCGAACCCAGGACCTGTCCAGTACTTCCAGGTTTTCCAATGGTTCTCTTACAAATGTCAGCTCATGATGAAATCCTGTAACCAATCAAATCCCAACAAACCAACACCTGAACATAACTAATAAACGGAGTCTTTGATTTTTGGTTGTTTGAGCTACGTAAACAGGCATAGATTGAAAACAACTGGCATCCTCAAACCGTAAAGGACCGGTGGTTGTAAACTATTTATAACGTGGATTAAAATCTTTCAGAATTGTGAAGACCTACTCAATCTTTGATCCGCAAGATAATAAAAAATAATCAATACTGATACGAATTTACAGCCGATCACGACATAAGTTGTCAGGAGATACACTTATATCATGCATGGACAATTCAAATAAGTTCACTTTATACTGAAGTTTGCAATGAAGCGATGCTGTCTAGAAGGGAAAAGACGATGACATCCCTTCTAAACTATAAACCAACAGCCAACTCAAAGAACATAACCACATCAAAATCACCTACCTGAGCTACAAATTTTTTCTACTATTTATTTGTTTTTTTCTCTACATTTTTGCACTTATTTCTGAAGTGTGACAACTGGAAATAGTTGACCTTTACGGAAAAATACTTCTACGCTGATATAATTCAGTTCAGTTCAATTCGATTGAGTCCGGCTTGGCTCGGTTAGGATACGAGATACACTGCCTGATGGGAAAATGATGATCAAAGTAGAACATGAAATTCAGTTTGACATAACAAAAACTGAAAACATACTACATAAGAAAACGGATTCGTACATTTAATTGGTCTCTATGGCTAGGTATGTGTCTAATGCCCTGATGTGTTCACCTTTGACTAGATTCACTATCGGTCACTATCAGCGTCATCATCATCAATCTGGGTGACCCACTGTCGTTCATCATACACTTTGAGTTGATATCTGACTGACTTATGTGTTTCGTCTTTATCAGCGCTCATCACTCAACAAGGCGTATGTATTTACCATCTCGAAATGCTGTCATATGGTCATACCTTCATAGCCTCAGTCACATAAGTCCCGTTCACTGTCTTTAGACGGCGAGGGTATGCCTCATAAAATTAAGAGTTAAGGAGAACGTCTGATGGATATGCAGGTCTACTTAGGGGAGCTGGAAATTCCTGAAATTTTCAAACCTATGGTGTACATGGACTGCAGGATCTGAATGGTCACTGGCATCCACGGGAATGCCAATCCGCTTACCTTGTGAGTAATATTTCAAGTCAAAGGCCTGGGGGCAGTCCTCCGAGATAATCGCCTTCTTCTGTGTGGGCGCCTAAGAAATATCCCATCCCTTGGAGCTTTTGTGTGGAGCATCTCTGAGTCCCCATAATGAACCGACTTCGTGTTCCTAATAAAAATAATAGCAATGCTTCATAAAGTGAAAACTGATATTGGGTGAATATAAACTGTGTCTGAAAGAAACAACGACATTTCCACTTCCACACCAAAACTATGACCCTATTGTAATGTATCTTTTCACAATATATATATATATATATATATATATATATATATATATATATATATATATATATGAGATGCCCAACGAATACGTAGGAGGAAGTGGAGACGGATTAGAGAAACCCGAATGGACCACACAACGAGTTGGCTGTAAGTACAAGGGTATGACACAGAGTAGTGTGAGAAGAAGATAATGGAAGCTTCAGAGGGAGTAAACGTGGAGATGTGCTCTAGCTGAAACCATGTATTCCACTTGGAACCCAATGGGATAATAATAATAATAACTAATAATATACCAAAAGATAATAAGCAAAGACAGAATTACACACACAGCACCAACCAGACGTGCATGTGCATATGTACCCTTCAGATTTGGCCAGAAACCAAATCTTTAAAAATAAAAACAAAAAATTGTGACAAAACAGTTCAAGATTCGAACCCATTATCAGTCAACTTCATTAGAAAATCAATCAAGGCTGTCTAGATTGCACACAAGTGTGGCACTAAAAATCATGCATAAAGTAAAGGACTAAATATAAAACTAAATCAATCTTATTCTCACTTTTCAAAAAAAAAGACTACAAGTTGAAAAATTGCGCTGATATCACAATTTTACAAGGTAACTTTTAATATGCAAATAAATTAAGGCGGCAGTGCGTGGGCACGGGAGGGTGGAGCGAATTGATTTACCGAAGTAAACTGTGCACATGATATATATATATATATATATATATATATATATATATTGTGAAAAGATACATTACAATAGGGTCATAGTTTTGGTGTGGAAGTGGAAATGTCGTTGTTTCTTTCAGACACAGTTTATATTCACCCAATATCAGTTTTCACTTTATGAAGCATTGCTATTATTTTTATTAGGAACACGAAGTCGGTTCATTATGGGGACTCAGAGATGCTCCACACAAAAGCTCCAAGGGATGGGATATTTCTTAGGCGCCCACACAGAAGAAGGCGATTATCTCGGAGGACTGCCCCCAGGCCTTTGACTTGAAATATTACTCACAAGGTAAGCGGATTGGCATTCCCGTGGATGCCAGTGACCATTCAGATCCTGCAGTCCATGTACACCATAGGTTTGAAAATTTCAGGAATTTCCAGCTCCCCTAAGTAGACCTGCATATCCATCAGACGTTCTCCTTAACTCTTAATTTTATGAGGCATACCCTCGCCGTCTAAAGACAGTGAACGGGACTTATGTGACTGAGGCTATGAAGGTATGACCATATGACAGCATTTCGAGATGGTAAATACATACGCCTTGTTGAGTGATGAGCGCTGATAAAGACGAAACACATAAGTCAGTCAGATATCAACTCAAAGTGTATGATGAACGACAGTGGGTCACCCAGATTGATGATGATGACGCTGATAGTGACCGATAGTGAATCTAGTCAAAGGTGAACACATCAGGGCATTAGACACATACCTAGCCATAGAGACCAATTAAATGTACGAATCCGTTTTCTTATGTAGTATGTTTTCAGTTTTTGTTATGTCAAACTGAATTTCATGTTCTACTTTGATCATCATTTTCCCATCAGGCAGTGTATCTCGTATCCTAACCGAGCCAAGCCGGACTCAATCGAATTGAACTGAACTGAATTATATCAGCGTAGAAGTATTTTTCCGTAAAGGTCAACTATTTCCAGTTGTCACACTTCAGAAATAAGTGCAAAAATGTAGAGAAAAAAACAAATAAATAGTAGAAAAAATTTGTAGCTCAGGTAGGTGATTTTGATGTGGTTATGTTCTTTGAGTTGGCTGTTGGTTTATAGTTTAGAAGGGGATGTCATCGTCTTTTCCCTTCTAGACAGCATCGCTTCATTGCAAACTTCAGTATAAAGTGAACTTATTTGAATTGTCCATGCATGATATAAGTGTATCTCCTGACAACTTATGTCGTGATCGGCTGTAAATTCGTATCAGTATTGATTATTTTTTATTATCTTGCGGATCAAAGATTGAGTAGGTCTTCACAATTCTGAAAGATTTTAATCCACGTTATAAATAGTTTACAACCACCGGTCCTTTACGGTTTGAGGATGCCAGTTGTTTTCAATCTATGCCTGTTTACGTAGCTCAAACAACCAAAAATCAAAGACTCCGTTTATTAGTTATGTTCAGGTGTTGGTTTGTTGGGATTTGATTGGTTACAGGATTTCATCATGAGCTGACATTTGTAAGAGAACCATTGGAAAACCTGGAAGTACTGGACAGGTCCTGGGTTCGAACCCCGGTGGGTGCGTACTGCTGAGGAGTCCCAAGCTAGGACGAAACAGCTGTCCATTACTCCCAGGTTTTCCAATGGTTCTCTAACCAATGTCAGCTCTTGATGAAATCCTGTAACCAATTAGTTATGTGTTTTGACCTGATCACCTGTAACTCTTCTCCAGGCTAGTCAAAAACTGGCAGACATAAGTCCTAGTTGTTAGCCGTTGGTTCGATATTCGTAACATGTATTCTAACTAATATGAATAGATGGCTTCGTAATCTTCATCGATTGACTCTCTCCCCTTACCTTAATATCACTTATCATAGATGGTATGAAGACATACACCTAGGTTTTATGCTTATTGGATTTCACTGACAAGGCGTGTTTACAATCTTGATGGGACTGATACCCCATATAGGCTTCGAACCCACGTCGCCCAGGACCACTAAGCGATTTGTGATCACGATTGTGTTCCTGTGGGACTTTGAGGGGTGAGTCGATCGGTCACTATTCAATAACCATTGTGTAATTCTTGATATAAGTATAAAACTTGGGCACTGTTTTAGAGTATAACTCCATTATGGATAAGATTTATCAAAATAAAATCTTATCCATCGTGTAATTCATCTTGTGAGCTCAGAGTGCACCGTGATGGTGGGTCACACCGAACTTGGTGGCCACATTTCGAACTTGGCTGTGATAAAATTTATTCTGCACAAACACCAATGTCGTGGCACACGACACTAGTTGCTTCCAATCAATACACTCAATATTATTGATCATACTATGCTAATCAACATGAGGTCTAGCGTAGTTCTGCATACCTTAGGAATCAATTATGAGTGAAATGATAACAATACTGGTGACTGTGCATTTTCTAGTTGCAAAGTTGTTACATAAAACTGAAGAAAAACAGTGAGAAATTGGCGGGTTAAAAAAGGTAGTATAGATTTCCAAAGAACTTCTCAGGGGTACTAATTAACACTGTGTATAATTAAATCAACACTCATTACTGCTTGTCATGTATATAGTTTACCTATGTAGTTTCAGTAGAATTCGTTTTTATATAGTTCGATGATATAAACAGAGGAGGAGAGGGGATGGGGAGAGGATAAGTTGTCAAAGTAATTTAATTAGCTTTCTTCGTCCCTTCCTTTATCCCATTTTTTCTATTTGCCGAAAGAAAGAAACACTTGCAGTAATATGTCGTATTCCTATCAGTAAAAAGTTTGAGCATTGTGAATTAGATCAAATAAAGTATAATTATATTTTAATAGTTTACACACAATGATAAGTTTTGTTTTTGGTAATATTTCGAGCAAAATTACCAAAAACAAAACTTATCATTGTGTGTAAACTATTAAAATATAATTATACTTTATTTGATGTCGTATTCCCTTTTAAAGATTCCTCGAAAATACTGTAGTCCATATGGCTTGAAAGTATTTTTATGATATTACTCGGTTGTTGTTGGCTACTAGTGCGTTTCGTCCTCCTTGGGACTCATCATCTGGATGAATCAGCATCCCCAGTGAGTGAATGAGTGAGTGTTGGTGTTCCAACTGTTTTCCATTGTTTCTATTCTTACATATCTATTGTCAAGAATTAGTTTGTAGGGATTTGAATTCCTTCATGTTTGATTACAAACTGACTTCTAGGCGAGGACGCTGACAAACTGCAGAGTCTTCTGAACACCTTGAGTTGCAATCTACGAATGTTTGGCATGCGATTCGCTCGTGCTGTTAAATGTAAGATGATGCCACAAGACTGGACTAGACTACACTAACTCCTAGTTTAGAAATAGGGAGTGAAGTGGTAGAGCACGTTGACCACTTTACTTATTTGGGAAGTACCATCATACAGCGCCAACGGGCTGATCTCTGACGAAATCTCACCACGGACACAGACGGCTAGTTTCGCATATGTCAGTTTACGCCGTCTCTGGCATAGACGTGATATCCGGCTGGCTGTCGACCAAAGGGCGTACTGTACTACTCAGCAGTCCGCTCCGTCCTCCTTTATGGCTGGCTGTGAGACCTGGCCATTGAGAGTGGAAGACATGAAAAACCTGGCCAGCTGTCTTTGATCATAGGTGCCTGTGTCCTATCTCCCGTGTGAAGTGGTATAATAAGGTGAGCAATATTGAGGTTAGGCGTCGGTCAAGTGCTAGGTAAGGAGGAAGGGGAATTCAACCGACGAGGCTGTGAAGTTACATCGACTGAAAGAGATGGTTAGGACATGTGTTACGTATGCCTAGTCATCGCCTTCATCGACAATGGGCAATGTTAGCTGATATAGGGCCAGGTTGGAAAGGAGCTAGCGGCGGTCAAACCAAAACATGGCACCAGTCAATGAAATCCACAACAGCTAGTTTAAGCCACGTAGGAAGGTGTAGACTTCCTGACTAGTTGGGGTCCTCGGGACGATAAATATTAATGGCTGGAGACAATCGGTGATATAGCTCAAAGTCGTCCCTACTGGCTGGCACAGAATCATCCTCTCCCTGTGACTTATAATATCCAATAAAACTATATTGTTCTTCCGTATTACTATTCATTTTGCCTCATATCTCTGTTTATTGTCTCTATTAAGCATTTCTTCTACCTTCTTCTCTTGCTTTGTGTGCTACAAGAAGGGAGTGTGGCGAATTGAACTGGTGCACATCGGTGCAAAGTTCTATGTCGAAAGCAGATAGACAGACAAACTGACATCAGTTAGAGAACCATTGAAAACTAAGGAGTACTGGTTAGCTGTTTCGTCCAAGTCTGGAACGACTCAGCAGTCAGAACCCAACAACCCAGATACTTATCCATAAAAGTTGAAGGTGATAAATGGAGTTATAGTGCTTAAAAAAGCACCGCCTAAAGGTCTCGATCCAGGACAAAACTGGGTGCCTAGTACTCCTTTTCTGCCATAGTTCTCCTACTCATGTTACTAATAAAAGATATAATAATAATAATAATAATAACAGCTTTATTCCAAACGGTATTTGTGGTACAGGTATGGAATTTTCAGCGTGCATTACAGTATATTCATCTAATTACCTCATAAATTATATAAGATTTTTAAAAATCAAAGATAAATAAATAAAAATAAAATAAATAAGTTATAAATAAATAAAATAATTAAAAATTAAGAAAAAACAGTGTAGAGTATTTCATTTCATTTCATATGACTGGTTTAAGGCTTAAGTCAAGTGAAATCTATGGATTCCTAGTGATTTTTGCAATCATTTGCTTTCCTTTTAGTGGATGAGGAATTATTAAAATGGAGTTTATTTCTTGTCTCACCCACCTTGCAACCGATAACCGCTACTCTGATGTGTTAAGATGGCTTGTACATCAAAGTGACTCCCAACAGCTGGAACGAATTTTCCTCCAGCTCCAGAAATGGTCGTTCGAATATCGAGTGAACTAAAATAATCCAGTGGCCGTCTTACTGTAAGTCTCTCACGCCCTGTGTTGAGGGTTTGAGGGCGAAGTAGTACTGTTGGTGCATAAAAATGTAATAACAGTAAGGTGTGTCTCCCTCAGATGACCAGAAAGTTAGCTATGCTACCTTTCCCTTCTGGGGGAAGGGTGTGCATGATAAAACCTCGACCTGAAAATGAATAAACTCCGGCTCGTTTTCAGCGATCTGTGGCCGGCTGTAAGATTTTCATATGGGTACAATTCTGAAATTCTGAAAACCACTTCCCCTGGGCTATAGTGTCATGCAGCACTAGTGCTCTTTCCGTTTCAGTTGTATTTCAAGAAGAAATCAATTTCCACAACATTCGCAACCGGCAAGCAATAACCGTTAACACACTCCCTTGCCGTGATTTACTATTTTCAGAAGATGTTGCGTGTCATCAGATATTCCGCTGAGTAGCTAGATCCTTATAAAACCCAGGTGAACATCTGACATTATCACAACTCATACACATTACGTCATCAAATCAGAGTAGTGTTGGCTGTCTGAGGTCTCTGTAGTGCATATTCCGATGTTAAAGACTTATTCTTTAGTTGTACTTATATGAACTTGTTACAACACCATTTTGCGTTATTCGGTTTTGCTGCCTATACACACGTTCCTTGAGTCTGTAGCAAAGCCACACTCATTAGATAAGTTACAGACCTCTTTCCTGGATAATCTCTACCTTTTTTCTCAAATGTGATAACAATGGAAAAAATCATTAACCACATCAGCTTTGCTTATTATTATTATTATTATTCAAATTATGGATTTCGTTGGAGGATTCGGGTCAGTTTTACTCACGAACCAACATCAGTTAGAGAACTATTGAAAATCAAGGAGCATTCCTAGACATCTATATCTTTCTTCAGCAGCCATGATTGCACTGGGGATTGTATCCAGGACCTTCAGCATACGAGGTCAAGCTCTTTGACCGCGCAGCTACTGGTGGAAAAGGATCCAATGACTGGCCTATGGCCTTTCAACTTCTATCGCTTCGCGATATAGTGCTACCGTCATACAGTGGTGTGGGTGAGTTTGCATTTCACCCTGACACCA